TATGTTAATTACAAATCAACTTACTTTTAATGAATTTTTGACAAAAGTTCTATAGTCTATAAATAAATAATCATTTGCTTAAAATAAACTAACTTCATAGCGTTAATTACTGCCGTCCTTTATTACTAACAGATTGAAAATAGCAACAAAATATACATTTATTTAAATTTTTCCAGTCAACCGTAACGTCGATTTACATTACAATAATGTAAAGTATTACATTTATACAAAAAGTATTTAACTAACATTAAAACATCAGATATGACATAATCTTTCATAGATGTGTGGGTGGGCTTTTACGTTTTACAATTTCATTTAATATAAAACACTTCATTCCGGTCTTGCTCCTGCCGCTGGCGGAAATATTGCGTAAGTACAGCTTGCAGCAATAGCGTCGTCAGTTCTACGTTTTATTAATTTACCGAAAACAATGTCAATAGCAGCGGTACAGACAGCACCAGTGACGTAATCACATACGCTGCCCACTTCACTGCCCTGTTTGAGGGCTGAGTGTACATGATAAAAGTCGTGAATTATAATGTCTTACTAGCTTACCCGGCAAACGTTTGTTTTGCCATGTACCTATATTAGTTTCTAGGAGACATTTTTTTAGTTCAAAAATAACTACCTACAATAATAAAAAATAGGGGTTGATCGTAGAGAGGTGAAAATTAGGGGTTGTATGTATTTTTGTATGCTGTATCATAAAAATTGTCTAAAAAATAAAAATATTTTTTTTTTGGGGTGGACACCCCTTATAACTTAAGGGTTTAGATAGATAGTAGCCGATTGTCCGACTTACTGAATGTGCATTAAAAAAATCCATAAGAATCGGTCAAGCCGTTTCGGAGGAGTATGGGAACGAACATTGTGACACGTGAATTTTATACATATAGAGATAATATAAGGAGCAATGAACTTTCTATTGTATTATACCATTCTACGTTTTAGATAATCTTAAACTAGTCATAAGAGTCAATATTACCGTTACATCTAGACACCTAAAAATAAGCTCAAACCTATGTGGGACTGTATGATAGCGTTTAAGGCCTACATCTCCGTGTATTTTTATTACTTTGGTACAGGTTAATTTATTTGAGCCTTGTTATGGTAGGGGAGCCCACGATGCTAAATGGGGATTTACTCGAGCGTCGTAGAGACCTATTGGGATACAAAGCTTAGATAAAAAGAAGAAAAAAATGTTATATGATAAATTCCTTTTCATCGGTGGGGGAAGCGGCTATAGATAGTTAAATATGTAAAAAAAACTGTTGCATGGACATCCTCGAGCGCGTCAGATATTGATAGCATCTATGCCCTACGTATTTTTAATAATGTACGTATGTTAATCTGATCGTTTGCATGATGCGGGTGGTTGTATTTAAGGGTTGAAAATTAAAAAAAAAAAAATTTATCGAGCGCGTCAGATTTTCTAAGGGAGTGTTAAGTGCACCAAAAAAATCTCTCATTCACTAATCTGACGATTTCGATGGGACGCAAACCCACAGCCATTTTCTTAATTTGCAAAAAAAATCGCAATTTTGAAATACTCAAGCGCGTCAGATTAAGATATATGTGGTTCATCTTTATGTTCTAAACGTACTGTCTCATAATCTGACGATTATCTAGAGGGATTCGCCTGATCTGACAAAAAAAAATAGAAAAACGGTTCACCTAAAGGGCCATCCCTGCAACTTCCCGCTAATTCCATTCCTGGGCGCTTAAAATTGATATTTTGAGCTCGCTGAGTTCAAAGAAATAACATTTCTATGCATTTGAGCTCTCCCAGCTCGAAAGTCTGATAGAAGTTTCATAGAACACTATTTTTGGAATTTTCAAACCGCAATAACTTTTGAATGGATCAAGCAATTTTCACGCGGTTGGCGGCATTCGACGCAGTTTTATCATTCTCATAAGTAATTTTGCAATTTTAATTGATCGAACCACAAATTTCGGAGTAATCCCGAAAAACACTTTTTCGGGTTTCTTTCATGTACGATATCTCTCGAACGAATCAACCGCTTTTGACCAGCTTGGTGGCGATCGACGTGGTTTTTCAAGCTCAAAGGCGGATTAGTTTTTGAAGTTGATCGATAAAGAAACCACTTAAAAAAAAATATTTCTTATTTTTTTAAGATTTTTCAAAATTTCTCAAAATCTATCGGTCCGAATCGGTTCAAATTCACAGGAAATGTAATTTTGAGGGAAATATTTTGAACGCCGTTTAGTAGATTCCGATCGGTTTAAAGAAATGTAGGCATCACGCAGCTGCACGCATTTAACTTTATCGACGAATTTTTGTTATTTCGGCTTGCGGAAATCGTCAGATTATATATTTTTCATTATTCTGGAATTATTTCCTTCAAAATAAAAGAAAAATTAGCTACGCTCGAGAATGTCGAGATGACGTTTTTTTTTACAACTTTGTTGCCCTCCCCTTTTTCCGTCACTCTCAAATTGTCAGATTAGTGGAATATACACTTTTTAGGATGTAATTAACTCACCCTACCTTAATCTGACGCGCTCGGGAATTTCTGATGGTCAATTTTTTTTACTAATCTGATCCTGTCTCCTTCACGCGCGGCCTTATATATGGGCCTCATATTTTGTGGAGGTACTTAACCGGGTACAAGGTATCCCCCTATATAGTAATCTGCCGCGCTTTAGTAAATCCCGAAATCCCCTCTTGGGCTCCCCTACCATTAAATGCGTGAGCTTTGATTGAACGTGAGATTAAACCGGCTGATATCACTTATTAGAAGTTTGACCAAATAAACATATGGAATCAGGACTATATCTAGCCAAGCCTGTTCAGTAATTTTGGAACCACCGGCTTAAGCAAGACTGATGCAACATTACTTTAAATATTTGTGCATATATTCAACTAAAATAAAGCAATATGAACCTAATTATAATGCACGATGACTCAAAGTAACATTTATACAGTATTACTGACTCACCAACTCTGTCCACGACACAAGCCACATTTCTATGTTATGGCGACTTCGACAGGTGTTCCGTCTTTGTTGTTCTGTCTTTGTCGACTTCGTGTGTATTCGTACTGTCGAAAAGATTCTTAAATAAAAAGCTTTGTATGATTTAAACAGACACGTCCTTATGTTAATTACAAATCAACTTACTATATTAACTAAGAAGCTGGAGAGAACTTAATTATATGATTTGCTCGTATTTTGTCGTATAAAGTATCGTAATGAATTAATGTCGTACGTTACTGCGTTTTTAAGCTACAGGGGCTTAAATCTGTAAAAGAAATCGATACTAAATCATTTGTTGGTGGGGGTCAATCGGGGTGCGGGGTTTTTAAACGAACACTCCAGATGTAGCAGACATGGTCGTTAATATAAGGAATATTATTGTCGTATAAGTATCGATATTAAAAAAGCCTGCCACATGAGCAAATAATATATATTTTTGCTCGCCAGCTCCGTAGCTAAGGAAAAGTATTAAAGAAAATTCGTTGTACCAAAAACTTTTTAATGACAATTGTGTTTTTTGTATTTAAAAACTTCACTTTTTCAAACACAAATATTTTTTTTTTAGGTACCTTATAATTATGTTTAACACAATCAAGTGACAGCATATACACAAAATTAGAGAGAGTATAGGCAGGACTAAACTGAACAAATTATTATAAAGAAATGAATAAAAAATACTTATATAAACCAATCAATCGATTTCATCGTCGTCCCACTATACATAGAATATACTCATGCATACACCACCACATCATGGCGACTAATAATTTCTGGTGCATCGAACTTCACAACATTAAATTTGTTAATTATACAAAACAAACAAACCGGTGTAGCATTAAACCTAGTTCACCGTGGGTTAAATTAGTTCCGAATCGGTATTTTAATAATTAAACTTTGTTGTGGGAATATGTTGTTCGAAATTTTCATATACGGTTTTTATAAAATGCGGATTATATTTGTCACTTCGTTTTTTTTTTCATATATAAGGTAAGCTTATTAATTAAATAAAGAAATCAGCGGCGCTACAACCTTTTTAGGTCTGGGACTCATATTTCTGTATCTGTTTCATTATCATTTATCAATCTAATAGGCAAGTAGGTGATCAGCTTTCTGTGCCTGACGCACGCCGTCGACTTTTTGGATCTAAGGCAAGCCGGTTACCTCACGATGTTTTGCTTTATCGTTCGAGCTAATATTAAATGCGCACATTCTATGCACTGCCGGGAATCGAACCTTTAGCCTCAGGGATGAGAGTCGCATGCTGAAGCCACTAGGCCAACACTGCTCTTATTATATAACGGTCTTATAAATGTTAACACAGAAATCTGAGGCCCAAACCTAAATGGCTGTAACCAAACATTGAACAGCTTTGCGTTAACAAATAAACGTGAGATTCTAGGAATTGTATATGTAGGAGCAATACTATACTACTTTATTTAATTAGACAATATTGCCAGATCTAAAAAAAAATATTTAAACTGGCAGGAGTCTCTCATTATGTTAAGTAATACCGCCCATAGACACTCACATTGCGAAAGGGCTCGCAAGTTCCCGTTGCCGGCCTTTTAAAAATTGGTACGGTTTTGGAGTAATAAGACTTTTACGTTATTAATTTATAGGCCCGGTGACGTAGTTAAATGATATACAGCTGACAGTAACGCCATTGCTCCGACATATATCATTCACCTTGCACATTTTCATAACATCTTTGCTATTTTTGTATTGATATTAAAGATGGCGATATTATGCGCTAAGGCTTCTGCTTTGTGCTTCAAGTTTGACGGATAGTTGACATTTGACAGATGTGAATTTATTATCTACGAAACTATAGTAAATTGTCAGTGACAGTCAATCGTGTGACATGTTGGGTCAACATTCAAATTTTAAAGTGGAACGCCAACCCATTTCTAGTTGTGATTATGCACTTATCTAAAATAATAATTTGGTGCAGTTCGATCTTTATATAAATGACAATAGCTTAAGTATTTATGTATGTTTTATTTATTATAACCTGGTGTCTTTTAATAAGACGGCCGCTTCGTACGAAGGCAGTTCACTATCTGTCTTCACTTTCTGGCAACGCGGGCACGATTCAGAGACCACCTCCTGAAATTAATAGGCTTCTATTAAAGCTCTTTCTATCGAGTTAGGCTATAGAGTATATTTTAAAATGCACAATATTTTATGTCTGAATGAAGGTCTAGTCTGCATGCATGTTTACACACTAAATTTTTGTTCGAAATACAGGTCACACAAATAATAAACAAAGTATAGGTACTTTTTTTAAAGAATAACAGGTAAATGGGCAGGCGGCACACCTGATGTTAAGTGCTCATAGACACTTTATGCCAGATGGCTCGCGAGTGCGTCGCCGGCCTTTAAAATTTTTTTTACATCTTTTTCTTGAAGGACCCTAAATCGTACTTAGGTACTAATTATAGTGATTGCGGTTATATATACGATATAACTTTATAGGTATGTCCTACCTCTAATGTTATACAATCCTTATGTGAAGAATCTGCAACCACCAGATCATAAGCTGGTGGTGGTCCGGCCACCTCCTCTTGTTGTACCTAAAACATTACATTGTTAACATATAAGGAGATAAACTTAGCTATGAAATAGGATGGTTTAGTATAAAATAATTTATTAGTCTGCGATTTTTAGTATTGTTAATAAAAAAAAAATTAATTAAATCTTTTTCTATTGTTGCATTACACGACTGTTGCACTGGTCCTCACACTAGGACATTCCTGTGTGGTTGACCATATTCCTACAGTTAGTTTATTCACAATACATATTAGACATAAACATAATTACACATTTCAACATAAATATTAGTTGTTATGAAAATAATTTAAAAAAAAAACAATAGGCAAAATATAGGTTTAGTATTTCATACAATAAAACTTATTAAAGAAATAAGATTTATTGTGTTGGTTCAAGTGCACAGGTGCTAATTAAAGATTTAATATGGCGCCTGGTAGATAGTACCGGTGACCCCAGAGCTGGTGCTTTTCTCGCCCAACAAATAAGTATCGCAATACAGCGAGGAAATGCTGCCAGCGTTAAAGGTACACTGCCACAGGGACCGAACCTTTTAAATTTTCTTTTAATTAATTTTCAATTACTATTATTATTAATATGTAGGTGAAGAAAATTGTAACTTGTACTGTATACTTGATTGTGATGTTTATGTTTCAATTAACGATAATACATCATTAAAGAAAATATAGGACAGTGACAATATCTTTTTGATTCAATTTACTACTAAAGTATATTTATTTAAATCATATCACAAGTAATTAGATGGCACCTATTATCTACTTTGTAAATTCGTAAATTAGTAAACGAAACATATACAGTGTGGCCAAAAAGTCGTGGATCAAACGCAACTGGGGGATAGATGAGGTCATCAGCTGCAAAAAATTGTTCTACAAGAGGTCCTTAAAGTCAACCCCTGCAGAGTTATAATTTATTTTGCGTTTTTATAAGAAAATTGAATTTTTATACCTTATTAAAATTCGGAAAAATCTACATCCTGTCCTGTATCTTTTTCATAATATCCACTAGATTGGTACTGATGAGTCCTTTTGTTAGACATGCGATTTATAGTTGTTTATTGAGTTTATTGAAGATAATATTAAGTTATACGATATAAAAATTTCTCAAATCATAACTTTTTGTTTACTTCGGACCCCACTGTGAAAAAAAATACTCTACCGAAAAGTGACCCTGTATTAAAAGTTTTGGCGTATGTATATAATAATAATTTAATTGTGAAAAGGTATTGACACGTGGCCAAGAGTGGCTCTAATATCTTTCTAGGAAGAATTACAAACAACGATCCACGACATTTTGGCCATCCTGTATATTAATTAATTAAAACTTTATGATAAAGGTTATGTTTAATATAATAAAGAACTCAAAAACCAATATAATGTATTAGTTAAGCAGACGAAAATTTGTATATTAATCTTATTTCTTCAAGTTAGTAATTAGTTAATATGTAAATAACAAATATATGTCGTACTCTATGAGATACTATATTAACTTACTATACCGGAACAAGTAAGTGTTACAATTTAGATAAGCTTTTTATATCTTTTATCGAAAGTTTCGTGATTTTTACGCTGATCAATTGAGTGTACTGTGTGCATATAGACGTTTGATTTGTTGATTGGCCGCGCCGTACCAACAAGTCAAACATATTCGTTGTTTCAATATTTTAGCTTAGATTTTTGGATAACAGCCTCACGTCATCTGAAAATCAGTCTTGTTTTATTGTTAATACTTTCGACGTCCGCCGTTCCACGACTGAGCGTTTTTCAAGGCAATTTTTGCCTCGCACCACCGCTATGTGGAACAGGCTGCCCACTGAAGTATTTCCGAACCAATTCGACTAAGGGTACTCAAGAAAACAGCGCACCAATTCTTAAAAGGCCGGCAAAGCACTCGCGAGCCCTCTGGTATTGAGAGTGTCCATGGGCGGCGGTATCACTTAACATCAGATGAGCCTCCTGCCCGTTTGTCCCCTCTTCTATAAAAAAAACTGCACAGCAAAGAAACAAATTGACAGAAAGAGACAAATTGTTATAAGTAGTGTTGCCCAAATGCAAGACCAAGACGAGACTTAGGCCAGTCTTGGTATTGGTCTCGCGTCAATACACCTGGTCTTGGTCTTGGTATTGCGCTCTCAGTCTTGGTCTTGATCTTGCAGCAAGAGTCTCGCAAGTCTCGCAAGACTTGCAAATACCTATTAGCCTATTGCTATTTATTATACACGTTAGTTTAGATTTTAGATTATGATTCGCCCTGTAAGACATATGTAGTTGACTCTGTAACTACATACGTCTTACAGCAAGAATAATATTTTAATCAACAATCTAGCACTAGCCTGCAAATTGCAAAAAAAAATTGAGTTTCGCGGGCTATCCTATGCTACCTATGCGGCCAAAATAAGGAAGTGCGTGTGTGTTGAGATTAGCAGATTTCATTACAGTGTGCGTAGGTACATTTTTAGGCAATTTGTCGTTACTCGTGGCTGGCGCGCTTTGCTACGTAGGTACAGTCGTTAAAGTATGTGTAAGTGAGAAACGATGTAGGTACCTACTTCAACAAAATTGTATTCCTTAGAAAAATAACGACGATTATTTTTATTTATTTAGTAAATCATCGCTGAAGACAATAGTCGCTACTAGAGTAGGTACGATAGAAGTTGATAAATCGACACTGCAAATCTCGATTTTTGGAAGTGTGTGATTTTAAAACAAAATGCGTAAAGCAATATGACGTCGCTCATATTTGGAGCTTTTCCACGTTTCTTCTTTGCCGATGAGTAGGTATGCCTTCAAATTTAATGACTTGGAATAAGTGATACATGTATCTTATGTTCCATAATAAACATATTTTATTTTATTTCAAGTTTGTTAAAATCACCCACTTTCAATTTTGCAGTGCAATGTTCTTTAAAAAAAAGGTATAATAGGTAATAATAATAATAATATAAACTATATTTTTATTACTTACAACAATTTTTATAATATCTACCTATCCTTACGACTACAATCTTCCTTGCGAGGACAACATAATCTATTTGTGTCCGTTCTGAGCACCCGGAAACTTATTTTATTCTTTGGGACATGGGCAGTGGCGGCGACCTTTGACATGAAAGCGACGGCGGGGACACAAAGTCTAGGAGCGGACTAAATTTTTACCTATTTTGGTAGGGTTGTCAATGTTGGCATTAGCACAGAAAAATAAAATTAAGTAAACATAACGTTTATCAACTTTTTAATAACTAGGTATCCACGATAGAATATTTTTTCTACTAATTTCCTAAGTACTCCGTCTCAATATATTTTTCAATAATTTGTTGTGTGTAATTGAATGGTAAACTCTAAATCTTACTTGAGAGCTTTTTTTTAAAATAAACTTATGGAAAGCACTGACATGGCATAAACACTTTTCAATTATGCTGCTTACATTTTAGTACCTAGGTATATCACTCACTATCTATCATTTACCGATATTAACAATGATTATTTCGATATCAAAATATTCGCAATTCAATAGATGCAATACCTACTTAGTTATTAATTATCATCTCGCCCGACAGCTTTAAACGCTGTAGTGTTCTAATTCGAGCCAGTGTGAGAATGTATTTAAATACAAGAAACTCAGAGCATTCAATTTATACCTACCTACTGCTGAGACATCTTCAAGGTCATTTAATTTTATCCTCCTGTACCAACCCTACCAAAATAGGTAACAATTTTGTGTGCCTCTGTCCGGACTCTTTGTCGGCGAATGCGGCGCTCAAACAGTGTCAAATGCTGTGATACACTCGTTGCAAACCGCGGCCTCTCTGTCGGTAAATTATCAAATAAGTAGGTATATAATACACCAACCGACCAACAGTTTATTCGCAGAACGTTACATTTCCCCAATCAACCTTGAACCTTAATTCTTTAGCGATAAAGTTGAAAATCTGTTAAAGAAATTTGACAGATTGTAGTAGCTTGATGTGCTGGCGTCTGTACCATAATATTGGCTGCCGTAGAAACTGTTACTAGACCTACTCGACTCGCAGTTAGTTTTAAATTTTGCTAAATAGAAGAATAATATAAACTTTGAAACATAAGTAGGTACCTACATAATCTTAATATATATATTTCTTCTGTGCGTGTGTATGTGACTGAACTCCTCCTAAACGACTGGACCAATTTTGATGAAATTTTTTGTGTGTGTTCAAGGGGATCTGGGAATGGTTTAGATTCACAAATCAGCCCGACAGATGGCGCTGCAGTCGGTACTTTCATACTTTGTTTAATATCTTAATCGGTTGAAATATCATGCAGGACAACGTCTGTGGGGTCCACTAGTGTTTATATAATTTTGTTGGCTATAATTTTAAGCACATCCTAACCTACGAGTACTAACGTTAGATCTGCACATTAGACATAAACAAGCAAAATATATTATTATAGGTTAGTTGATACCTGCAAGGTATGATCTTTGCTAGAAAGTTGATTCTGGGTAAATTTTATCACATGGGATGATGGTAACAGATTTGTGAGTATTAACACGGTACCTACTTAAAAAATTGTTGAAATATAATAAGTACTTCCCTACCTAATCAATACAATACCTTTCAGTATTCTTTCAGACGAGCGGCACGTTTAGTGTTATGACGATTCCAACGGTTTTAATACTGAGGAACGTCTCCCAAAATCGGGATTGAAACCAAATACCTACTTAATAACGCCCAAATCTCAGTTTGTCTTAACTGCAAGACGCAAGAGTCTTGCAGGCTTTAGTATTGTCTTGCTCAAGTCTTGCAGGCTTCAGTCTTGGTCTTGGTATTGCTACAATAAGGCGGTATTGGTATTGGTCTTGCGGGAATGCAAGAACAAGACCAAGACTGCAAGACCAAGACCGATTTTGGGCAACACTAGTTATAAGTAAATTAAAATTGGCTATTTTTTTTATGAAACAATATTTTATCTAAAGCAAGAATTTTAATTTGTCCCACTGGTTTTTAATTATTATTAATAATAATCAGTAGCGCTTCAACCTTCTTAGGTCTGGGTCTCAGATTTCTGTTTGTTTCATGATCATTTGTCAATCTAATAGGCAAGTAGGAGATCAGCCTCCTGTGTCTGAACCGCCGTTGACGTTTTCGTGACGTTAGGCTATGGAATAATTAAAATAGAACAAATACATATGTCTCAGACAGTTATTACTTGCGTTCATTAACTTGTATTCATTAAACGAACAGTTAAAAGATAAAAAACTCGGCTGAACAAATAAACGATGTTTTGATAGCACTCCCTGTAGAGTTGGAATTAAACCGTAGTAGAACCCTCATTCGACTTAAAATAATAATTAATCAAGTATATTTAACATTTATTCTAATGTATCCATGTATTCACACAAACAGTGGACTTACAAAAAAGGCAACCATCTGCAGGCATGTGCATTATTTTTTTTTATGGAATCTCGCTATTGGTCTGAAGGGCTTTGACAGATCAGCTCGGGCTGTTTTGGTCGGGATGGGCTTTTCCTGCGACTAGTGCAGGACGGAAGCTCCTTGGAGTAACTTTTTTACCCGTATGTGACTATGCTTTGCCGTGAGGTTTTCGTATGCGAGTTCGATGTTGTTCTTTCAAAATCCGTAGCGCTGAAGTCGCTACCTTGGGATAGTGTTGAACAAAAACTCATATTATTAAGAGTGCTGATTTAAAGCATTAAAACTGTATTTTTATATGTGATAACCCTTTTCACCCTTCTGCCAACAACCATTGTTAATGGTGATATTGTAGTGTATCTTAAGGCCTGTATTCACTTTGATTAGTGATTAGTGCAGGTGATTAGTTGACTGCGTAGTAAAGATTACAAGCGTGTTCAATTTTTTTGCGAGTGAACAAAAAACTACTCGCAAGTAGTGGCGTCGCGTGCGCCCTCCCTTCCCCCTCACTCGCAGCGTGCCTGCTAAAACACGTCTGGACAGGTAGCAGGGCTCTACGGTCAACCTGAGAGCAAAGTAATATTCCGTCGTATCTTCAGCAGCCAATTCCTTATAGAGTTCGTAGCTTGCGGCATCAATGGGCCTTCTATTAATCCATTTTCGAACCCATACTTTTCTTCTTCTTGCAAGCTTCCAAAACATCTTCGGTTTCAGATAGCACCGCGTTTAATACTTCTTCCAATTGCAAGCGCGCTTCTGGATGTTCGTCCAAACTTGCTGATGGACAGCTATCGACAACTGAATTTACTTAACAGAGCCACTAAACAAGAACTGGACACTACTCGCACTAATCAAAGTGAATACAGGATTTTTATGATATTGGCGTACTACTTATAAATATCTTTTCTAACTATGATCTAACTATTCTATTACTAACTAATAAATTTCTTTTGATCAAGACTACATTTGTGTGTAACTAAAAATATTTTTCTTTTTCAGATGTACAAAGCTGATGTTATTATTGGAATATCTTTAACTTATTTGTCATGGTGAGTATTTGAGACATCGATGGAAATAAAATATTGATTTTAAAATAAAAAAAAACAAATGAAGATCTAAGACAAAGGATTGTTCTTGGTCTTAGGCTCATAAGTATCTGTCTCCTTGATCACTTATTCAGGACGAACATGAGTTCGTCCAAAGAAATGAATGATAAGCATCAGTGATACTCGTCTCGTCAG